CTTTAAACTTTGGCATTTTAATTATAATGTGTCTTAGAGTTGTCCTCTTTGGGTTCATCTTGTTTGGAACTCTCTGCACTTCCTGGACTTGTATGTCTATTTCATTCATCATGTTAAGGATTTTCCTCTCATTATTTTTTGAAATAGGTTTCCAATTTCCTCCTTCTGGCAAGCCCAAGATGTTAATGTTGGAATGCTTGAAGTTGTCCCAGAGATATTTTACACTATCCTCATGTTTTTGGATTCTTTTTTCTTCTTGGTGCTCTGATTGCTTGTTTTTTGCTTCCTTATATTCCAAATTACTCATTTGATTCTCACCTTCATCCAATGTACATCTAATTTACATGATTCCATGTAAATTATTCTTTATTTCTATTAGAGTATCCTTCATTTCTGACTGTATTTTTTATGCTGTTGAGGTCCTTCCTAAGTTCCTTGAGTATCCTGATAACCAGTGTTTTGAACTCCTCATATCCTAGATTGCTGATGTCACTTTTTTAGTTATTTTTCTAGAGTTTTCTTCTGTTCTTCCATTGGAGCCATGTTTCTTTGTCTCCTCATTTAGACATCCTCCTTGTATTTGTTTCTATATCTCAGGTAGAGCTACAATGGCTGTCAGGCTTAGTAGAGTGGTGTAATGTTGTATGTGTCCTGTTTAGCCCAGTGGCACAGCCTCCTTTATTATTTAAGTTGGATACTCAAGGTGAACCCACTGTGGGGGTGGAGGGAGTTGAAAAAGGGTATGGTGTATAAATGGTGAAGGAGGGATATTTGGCTGGAGGTGGTGAATACACAATTAAATGTACAGATGACATAATATGGATATATTCACCTGACACCCTTATAATTTTGTTAACCAGTGTCATCCAAAAAAATATCAGTAAAAGAAAAAACTCTATAAAAAAGAAACAAACCTCTTAGTTTCTTAGTGATCACACATAATACTTTTTCTAAAGTGATGCCTTTCCTGAGACTGTAAAGCTTATAGTAACAGTAGAATTATGAATTTAGAAGGCTGTTCTTATGCAGTCAAATCTTAAGGAGCCACTGCCCTGTAAAGTTGTTCTGAGGGCTTTCTGAGTGTCTTGGAACTTTGTTTACACACCAAGACAACATGGGGAGAGATGTTTTTAGCAGTGAGAGTTCACAGGATGACCAGACCTAGGCAATCAGTAACAACAAAAAGAGCCAAGTACACTCCAGAGGTTCAACCTTGGATTATAGCTGCTTTTGTGATACCTGAAGTCATAAAAGGCAGGGGTTAGGTAGGAGGATGCTTTTCATAATGTGTGCCCCATTGCCCTCTAATTGGAGCATGTTCACATGCCAGAGCTTGTGAAAGACAGCCTGAGGGTTGTTGAAGTCAGCATCACTGCAGTCTGAAAATGATACCCACCCAGTCTGTCACAGGGATAAGGATGTCCCTTGTCCCATGCAAGCCATGAGGACTCTCTGGAAATAGATGTGGTATGTTTGCTGACATGGTTAAAACAATGTAGTGTATTGTTTCTTAAATTCTTCTTCCCTAGAACCCCTGCCTTTCTCAAAGATCCCCACAACACAATCAGCATTCCAACTTAAAATGACTTTTCCTCATTGTAAACATTTCACATGTCAAAAAAAAAAAGAAACAACCAAGAGGAGGGGAAACCAAGAGCTGTGTGGTGGCCCACCTCTGAGGCAGAAGAGGCTGATGGGAACTTCTGGAAAAGAGGGTCCTGGAGGGGCCCAGAAGTGACTCTGGTCAGGCAGAACAAAGTATCCCAGTCACTGAACCAAGCCATGAAACACAAAGGTCACTGAGGAATTCTGATGGGCTGGGATCTGTGGTGAAGCTAAATGACCAGGCAAGCACTAAAAGTGAGGTCAGTGGAAAACCTACTGAAGTGCTGCATGATATAGGTGCTAATTTTCTAGTTCTGATGGGAAGAAATAGGACCTGGACCTCCATGACAAAGATTTATAACTTCTTATCCCAGACTAAGCCAGCTCATAACCCTGGAAGCCCATGAATGAAAAGGGAGGCTGGGTCCATTTGGTAAGGACCCTGTCACCATGGATGTAGACAGTGAATCTTCCCCCACAGCAGAGAGATTAGGGACCATCGATCTGGGGATGTTGGACACAGGTCAAAGGATAATAAATGCTCAGTCCTTTCAGGATTTTTTTGGGGGGGATGGTGGTTATGAATGGGTGCTGATGCCCAGTGTGAACCAGGTCAGGTCACAGATGGACTTTTGGTGAAGTCACTTTCCCTGAGGGCCCAGTGGGACCCCCAGGCTCATCTTCTTGTTTATGTCATCCCAGAACATATTATAACTATTGGTAACTGGAAAAACCACAAACACATCACCTGACCTGTGGAGAGAGGGCTATTATGGTAGGAAAAGCCAAATGATGCTTCTGATCCTACCACCATCCCACCAAGACTGCAAATCAAAAGCAATAATGGATGTCTGGTGGAATTTCTGAGAATAGCGCCCACACCCTCCATAAGAAGTGGAGGGGTGTAGAATGTTACTCCACCTCTATTTGTTGCTCCTCTTTGGTCACAGCAGAGGGTCTGGGCAATGACAACAAGTTATGGCAAATGTGAAGTGGTGATGACAACTGCAGCTGCTGTTTGGGATGTGGTTTCTCACAGACCCTGGATTTGCAGCCACAGATCAAGCAATTCATTTTTCTGGTTTTGGGCAGAGATAATCATTTATGCTCACATTTCAGGGACAAGAATATACCTTAAGTTTCTGGCCACTTTTCTTGGTCCTCTCACTTGCTCTCTCCTATCATGTGCTCCAGAGAAACCCTGATCATCTGGTTTTCTCCAGGGCATCGCACTGGGCCACCTCATTGATGAATTTATGTGTTTTAATCAGACACAGTGAGCAAGATGTAGCAAGCACCTTTGGTGATTCAGAATTGAGATGGCGACAGCAGGTGGACAGAAACAGTGAACTGTCCAGCACCCATTTCCATGGTGTAAATGCTATAGCTCTGGGCATCAGGCTCTTCCTTCCAAATTGAGAGACAATTTGCTACGTTACTCAGCTGCTTGTAGCAAAGAGATATGTCTCTTAGAATTGGGGAGGAGGAGTTGTGGGATTTAGTACATTTTGGCACACTGCTCCTGCTCATTTGTGAAAGAAGCTATAAGATTTTTTTTTCTAAATCCTACAGCAGAAAAGGGCTCTGATAAAAGTGGAGGCTGGAAATGCAAGTGTCCTTAATCTCAGGCCATAGGATGCAACACATCAATGCCATTAAAAGTTTCTGTGAGATTAAGAAATAATAGGGATAATCACACTGTAGAATTTTAGGGCTAGAAGAATAGGAATGTCTCTTCTGCAGATAACTATCTTTCCCTTAGGGGAGCAGCTCCTAACTCATTACAGGATCCCAGTAGAGAATGGACTCCTGACCGCAGGACCTCAAGGGCATTGTGATTGAATTGCAAACACTGGGTGCTGTCTGAGCCACCACAGCATAACATTACACATGCTCATCAGTGCCCATATCCATGAAGAAAGTGAGTATGGGATGCGGCTCAGAGAGGAATGGAGGACACATAGGAACACCCCAGCAGGTGGCTCAGACACCCATGGCACCTGTCCCTCCTGCCCCTTTCTCCACCCATGCCCATGGGCTCCTGGGGATCTCCGATGGTCTAATACTAGAGGGGAGAGAGTGCATACCAGGTTTATGTTAGTGTGGATGAGGAATCCCACCACACTTCTAGTCACTTGGAAGCCTCAACTGCCCCCTGGCCATTCTATGCTCCTCTTGCCACTGATAGGGCATAAGAAGAGGGTCGCTCTGCTGATTGACAGACAGCACTTGACTAGCAGAGGGAGGCTGGGTTGCTGGGTCAAGGAAATCTATGTTTGGGAGTCAGGAGAGTTGTTGGGAGAACATCTTCATATTTCTCTGGCCAGAGGCCCTGTTCAGGGGAAAACAACAGAAACCCAGTGGAGACAGGACCATCAAGCACGCACTTCCCATAAGAATGAAGATTTGCCTCAGAAAATTGTCCAGAGTCGGTGCTGGCTGGTGGGGAGAGAATATGGAATGGGTGATGGAAGAAGGCATCTCTGATTACACCTCCAGGACATGTCCAGCTTTCCACCCCCACCTTCCTCTCATCATTGTAGGTAAAGAACTGGTCCTCAAATTGACATTAGCACACCATGTTATCACAATTAAGTAATGGAGAGGAATTGTTTATCTTCTGTGTTGAAGACTGATTTCCACCCAAACAAATGAAGGAGAGAATGTGAAAAGGAGAAGGGTGGATGGTGATGGACACTCCATTTCCTTTTCCAGATTCACTCTCTTTCCTCTTCCCTGCTGTTCTTCACTCCTGGGGACAGATCTCTTGGGACTGTGTCAATGGGAAATCCTGCCTTCCAGGTGTATGCAGTCAATGGGAGCACCAACAGGAGACCAGAGGGCGGACACTGAGTGGGGTTTGGTCACCCATTCTGCAGCTCCCTGCCTCTCTTGTTGCTGTACGCTGGTCAGATTTCTCAGTCTGAGGCCAGAGCTCCTGCCAGGCAGCCCTCTCTAATCTCCTCCCCCACCTTGGGAACCTAGTGACAGCAAGGACTTCTCTTCTGCCTTTCAAGTGTAGGACGGTAACAGACCCTGTGACATCAGCTTCTGGAAACTGTACACCCCTTCTTGTTTTTCTACTTCATACAAACACGTATGTCAAGTGATTCAGGTGGGATGAGGCCCCTGTCTGTGCAGGAAACCTGACTCCTAAGTAGTAGCCTCATTGGCCAAAGTGCACTTTCACCTCCCAGGTCATGGTGATGACCTGCAGCTGCAGAACCCTGAAGGCTCTGCTACCTCCTCAGCTGGGAAGGAGACATGTACCATACCAGTGATGGGCTTGACATGGTGAATCTCTGGATTCCTTTCCTTCCCATCCCAGATCTCTGTGAGCCCTGCCCTCCCCTCCCATAGAGAAATCCCAGCACTGGGAAAAAAGACAATGCCTTTATTCCTCAGACACATGTGGCCACTGTTTGAGTGTTCAGCTCCCACAGGGCCAGTTCATCTGCTCCAAGGACCTTCCATATGTTGCTACCAGGTCACAGCATGTATGGTTGAGAATTCATGGAGAAGATGGTAAAATAACCCAGTGTTTGGTTATGAGATCAGAGGAGGGTTTGGTTTAGGGGTCAGCTGAGGCTAAGAATCACAGGGAAATAGAGTGAACAAGGTAGTCATCCCACACCAAAGGGCTAGAGACAGTCCCAGCCCTACCACCCAAGCCAGGTAGGGGGCAGGAGCAGCCCCACTTTGGAGATCTTTATTCACATCCTCAGGGAACTCGACTATGTGGAACGGCCCAATCATGTTGATGTGGTTCAACAAGTAGTTGGAAGGTTGGGCCATGCAGCCCTGAATGCTAAGTGGGGAGGTCAGCCCACCTAGAAAGTGAAGACTGAGTCAGAAGGGTCTCAAAGTGGTGCACACTTAAATTCCTAAGACCCGAGAGTCCCAGACTCTAACATTTCCCCCTCAGACCAGGAGATCAGGCTCTTAGGCCTCCCTGCCTTCAGATATAAAAATCTGGGTCCCAGACCCTCACCCTCAAACCCATGAGCCAGGGTCTCAAGCGCACTCTCACTACTGTAGCAGTGAATCCAGGACCTCAGCCCCTTCATTCTTGGGACCTGGCCTTCAGCACTCACCTCCTTTGATATTGATGTAACCTTTATAACAACCAGTGGTTCCCTTAGGGCACGTGACAGTTCCAGAGCCTGTACAGGATCCACTAAGTTGCACACATGTGGGACACTGCAAGTCTCCTGGGACAGGGGCAGCTGGGGAGCAAAGGGAAGGTTGGGGTGCACAGTTCTGCTCTAAGCTGTACCCACCCTCCTTGAACCCAAATATTCTTGTCTCTGGGGCCCCATCTCCCCATGTCCCTTTTCTTCCCCTTCCCCTGGCTCCACTACCTAGATCACGGAGGGAGTTCAGCAGGACACTGGTACTGCGGGCATTGTTGCACCCGTTGGAGGAGCAGAAATGGGTGTAGGAGGCGATGAGAATTCCAGGGGGCCTCGAGTGGATGGAGACAGCCTGGGAATTCTGTGTCTCAGTCTTGATGCAGCCTTTGCTCCCCACAATGACTGATGTGGATCCTGAGGGGGAAAAGTGACAGCTGGATGGTGGTAGGTAAGGCTCTGAGGAAGGCTGGAGCCATGGATTCCTGGATGCTTAATTGGCAGAGGGTGAATGTAGGTTCCCTGAGTACAAGAGCATGGGTGGTTGCAGGCAGGGCCAAGACTGGAGCCTGAGCCTGGGTCCTCGCCCCAGCTTTGTCCCCTCTCAGTTCTTGCTCAAATATCACCTCAGTAGAGCTTTCCCTGATTTCTTAATTTTCAAATTGCAATCTTCACCTACTCTCCCTATTTCCTTTCTCTTCTGGATTTTCTTTTTCCCCACTGGCACATAAAGCTGAAGGAAAGCAGACCCAATGAGATCTACATAGCCTGGCCCTGAACAAGTGCTCAGTAAGGCTCAAAGTCACTGAAGTTACTGTGCACCAGCTCTGTTCTCAGACCTGCATGGACCATCACATATATCCTCATGATGTCCTAGCACAGTAGGAAATGTTACTGCCAGTACCTAGCCCCCAGCTTTCAGAAAGGGACAGCAAGGTGCAAAAAGATGAAGAGTGAGGCATAGAATTTCAGGCCTTGGAATCAGGCAGGAAGTTCAGGGAACAGAATCCAGGACAGGAGACCCAGGACGCTGTGTAGCAATTCCACCCTGATGCACAGCCCACGCACCTACATCTATGAGCAGAAGAGTCTCCTGGCACACCTCTGCCAAATCACATTTCACAGTTGTAAACACATTCCATTCCACAGGTTCCTTAGCCAGATTTCTTTTAAACTGCAACATGATTCCCTTTTCACAAGTCTGAGAAGCTGGAAAGAAGAAATCATCAGCATTTGTCAGCCCAGGAACAAGCCATGTCTCCCCCTCCAGATCCCATGTTTGGGAAGGTGATCACATTCTTCAGTCACACTCAGGTAACCTGGACACAGTCATTTCATCTCAGGTGGAAAAGGGACCTTTGATGTTTGTGCCCACCCCCATTCATTACACACCACCACTTCTGCTCCAGCAACTGCAGGGACCTTGCTCAACACCCATGAAGGCTGCACCTCCCCTGGGGTGTGGCACAGAAACTGGATCTTTCTTAACCTGAGCCATCTCTGCTTCCCTCACTGGGGCTCAAGGTCCTCATTGGGATAATGAGGAGTATAGACTGACACCCTATATTCTTTTAACATAGGGTTTTGAGAAACCTTATGTCTCAAACAAAGTTCCTCCAATGCCTAGTGTGTGTACTGAGAATTTACTATGTGCCTCGCTGTGGTAACTGCTTTCCATGGAGTACATTAAATGGGCTACATTTAAGTTTCCCAAGGCTCTCTCTCACCTGGGTTACCTCATTTTCTCACAGTGACCACCAAAGTAGGTGGTGTTATTTTCCTCCTTCTTCCCATTTTCAACACCCAAAACAAAGGCAGAGGAGTAGTGAAGTCAATTTCTCAGTGTTCCACCACTAATAATTAGCCAAGCTATACTCCCTGGGGCAAGCGATAGGGAGAACAGTGTTTGAAGACCTTGCTCAGCTACCTTGGCCTCTGAGGTTCTCAGAACTCCAGTGTGAAACCCAGGAGCCTAGGCCTTCACTTACAGCCACTGCATCACCAGCTGGGATGTGTCACATGATGCAGGAACTCCTGGACTGATGACACAGCATCCACCAACATGTGCAACCTTCACAGCAGCCTCATGAAGGAGGACCACTCATTCCCTCACTTCACAGACTACAACACTGTGGCTCCTGCTGCCCTCCTCCCAGCCTGGCCACAGTTCTCCCAAAATCACCTCACACATGTTGGTCAACAGCAGCTCCTGATTTGCAGTTTCTTGCATTGAGAACATTGCTGTCATTCTTAACAATCTCTATGTCTTATACCCTGTGTTGCATCCATCAGGATATCCTGTTGGCTTAAGCTGCAGAATGACTCCAGACCCTAGCCATTTCTTGCCACCTCTACCTCTTCCACCACAACCAAGTGGCTCCCACCTTCTTTGTTCTGAAACTTCCCATGGATCCTCTCCCCCATGCTCACCTCCCACTTACTCTATTCCTTACTCAGAAGCCAGAAGAACCTCCATAAAAAGTAAGTTGATTCACATAACTCCTCTGCTCAGAGAATTTTGATAGATCCCAGCCCCATTCAGGATAAAATTTTATGTCCTAAAAATGGCCCCAAAGGCCCTGCCTCTCTGTCCACATGCCCTGCTCTGTTCTCTTTTGAACACACTTCTGGAGCCACACTGGCCTCTGGGCTTATTCTTGCACACCCAGCAGGCCCCCACCCACACCAGGGCGTTCACATGTGCCCCTCTGCCCCTGACTGTCTGAAATCACCCACTCCTCCTTGAGTTTGGTGAAAGAGGCTCATAAAGGTGGTGATCCCCCCCAAACTGGTTCCATGGCACAACCCAGATGGAAACCCACATCCCCCTGATTGAGACCTAGGCTCTTAGCCACTGTGCTCCTCCTGACAGTGCAGACACACTGCCCTCACTGGCACCACAGCCTGGTTCCTTAGGGGGGCAGTCAAGGCCATTCACATTCCAGCTCTTGGTTCTCCTTCAATAGGCCCCTGCCACGGCCTGTTTTGTGGGCAACCTGTGCTCTTGCACCCAGCCTTCCCCCAGCCTCAGGTCTTCCTGGGAGCTGTCTGTCATGTTGGAATGGCCTTTTCCTTCCATGACATCTTGTTGTACCTCAGCTTCTGATGCCTCTTCTTACGGTTGTTCAATAAATGTTTGTTAAACTGCTTCACTGAACTGAACCAGGAATGGCAACCACATGTCCCAAGATCTAACTCCAATGTTAAAAGCTAAGAGAATAAGTTTACATATTAGGAATATTCATCTGTGGAACAGTAGCTATATTTTAGGTGGCAAGTGTGTAGTTTGTATATCTACTGTGTAAGGCATCTGGGAAAGTGTATGTGTGTGGGTGTATGAGGTATGTGACATGTACATGATATGTTTGTGTGGTGTGCCTGGAGTGTGTAGTAAGTGGTATGTATGTATGATGTGTGCTGTGTGTTAGTTACATAAGTGTGACATGATATCAGTTTCTGTGTTTGATTTATATATGGCATGTGATATGTTGTATGGTTTGTGTGTTGTATGTGGTATGTGGTGCTGAGGTATGTGGTATGTGTGAGGTATAAGGAGGCATGTGTGTGGTGGTGTGCTGTGCCTGCAGCGTGGTGAGTCTGCTTATGTCCATTGTGTGTATTGGGTTCTACATGTCTGTGTGGTACAGTATGTCACATGGATTACATTGGGTATGTTTCAGGAATGCCTTCTGGATTACAAATGTTACCTAGTCCCAAAAAATGAAGGCCAGACAATTAAACAGCATAATCAGAAGGAGAGATTCAGACCATCCTTCCATGGCCAAGACCTGTCCATGGCTCCTTTGCACATAGCAGAAAGGCTAACATTTATGTCAGGCTTTGTGGCTATTTGACCAGCACCAGACCCCCAACTTCCCTCCCCACTCCCATACCAATATCTATTCCCAAGACACACCAGGTGATATCCAACCTCCCTGGCTTTGCACCACTGATTCTTCTGCTTGGAACAGCTCTCCTGAGGTTGTCTACACCCACTTTGTCTACCTGAAAAATGGGTAATCAACCAGTCCCAGCTGCACCCATCCTCTTGACAAGAACTTCTCAGACAGAGCTGAGGAGCACTTTATGAAAAACAGCAGGCTTATTCCCATCTCCAGGCCTATACACATGCTGTTTCCTCTGCTTATTCATGTCCTCTTCCTCTTCTACTAATAAACTGCAGCTAACCTTTAAGACATGGCTCAAGGGTACCTCCTCTGTGAAGACATCCCTGACACCCCACCTCCAGGACATTACTATTTTCCTGCTCACAGGTCCCCAAGGTCCCTTCACCACAGCCCTGTGACAATCTGCATCTGTGCTGTCTCATCTCCTTGTCCTGGATGCCCTTTAGGGCAGGGACAGGGTCTGAGTCCTCTGCAGTCCCCACAGGAGACCTTGGAATCCTACACAAACTGACTTTTCATCCTGTGCTAGCCCTTTTGCTGCCTCAGGCTGGAAACCTTGGCATTGGTGACACCCAGGCCCTGTCCTCAAGGCTCCCAGACTAGCCAGAGGGATCCAAGCACAGACGACTGTTTGCTGAATCCACTCAACATTCTCCTTGAAGCTTTAAGGGCTGGGTGCCATGGGCAGATGAGGAAACTGAGGTTCAAACAAGAAAGGTCCTCTTCCCATTCTGCTAAGTCCCCACTCCTCTCCCAGTCTCCTGTGCTTCTCACTGAGACACTCCAGGCCATTGTCAGTCTGCCCAGTGTACAGTCAGGCTGCCTTTGTGTGGGTGTGTAAAGACACTTTCAATGTCCCTGCTTGGTTCTTGCTTTCCCTTTCACAGCTGAAGCATCCTTGGTTTTCTCTGACATCCTTCCTCTATAACAGCTGCCTGGGTGTTGTAGTGCCATGGGCAGGAGATGGATGAGCTGGGAGAGGTAAGGTGGTTGAGAAGAGGTGAGACACCCAAGACTACACAAGGGCAAGAGTGTGGGGACACAGAACTGAAGGCAATGAGTCATTCCCAGCAGGAGAACCAGGCACTCTGCACTCACTTCTGCATCCAATGGATAAAGCAGATTGCAAAGGACCCAGCCCTGCATTCCACTTGACCTCTCTACCCACTCCCCACTCCCTCCCACGTGGAAAGTCTACCCTTACTTGGTTTGTCAGTCCCCATGTCACTTAAATCACCCACCAGTGAGCCTCTCTCTTATATTTCTCCCTGAAAAAGTGTGCCCTGTTCTTCCCTTCAGGGAAACCCCTCCTACCAGCATCCTCAACCCTAACCACCTGCCAGGGCAATGCCTGAGTGAGTAATAAACTTCATAATTACTTGTGGGTGCTAGTGTTGGTGGGATGTGTTGGATGCAGGACTTTAACAAGGGTCATTGTATCCCATTCTCCAGGGCCAGTCACAGTTTTGTCTTCAGGGCATGGAACTCACCGTCAGTATCACAGTTTTCGCTCACAGACAAGGACCCAATTTGCCGAGTCTCATTAAGCAGGTTGCAGGCTTCTTGGGACATGCATCCTTGGACTCTCAGTTTGCCACTGATACCCCCTGTGGGAAGGGCCCAGGCAGAGTGAGAGAGGGTGAGATGCCATTGCTGAGACCATCCAACCCTGAGAAGCCAGGCCTCCCTCCTCCAAGTCCCAGGTCTTACCTGCCCTCCATACCCTCAGTGCCTACAGGAACCCCAGGCCCCAGCTTACCTCCCCTGAGGGTGAAGATCCCATTGTAGCAATGCGAATGCCCGACAGGGCAGGTCACCTCTGTTGCAGATTCACAGCCTTCTGTAGACAAGCAGACTGGGCACCGCACAGACCCTGGGGCTGGGAGGTGAGAGGGAAGAAGGGAAGACTGAGCTGCCTCTGCATTTGGATCTGATGCCTTCTACCTGGTCCCTTTGCTGCCCCCTCAAACAGCCTCCTCATTCTCCCCAGACTTGCCCAGTTCAGGTTTCTCTCAGGTAGCCCTGGGTGCAGGAAATTGGATTCATGTATTTTCTGAGAGAGCAAGGGGGACATGAGATTGGGGAGGGGCACCAGTGACTGAGACAGGGTTGGGGGGTACCCTGGGAGGAAACAGGGCAGAGTTAATCCATACTTCTCCTATGCAGTCCCAGCAGACAGGATGCCACAAAGAAAAGAGATGCAGTGCATCTCCCCAAACCCAGGTTGGGATACAGACAAAGACAGTGAAAAGTTACAGGCCAGGTTCACACAAAAGAGGAAATATCAAAACCCTAAATGATGCCCCAGTTGGTGTAGCTCAGTGGATTGAGCACAGACTGGGAACCAAAGGGTCGCCAGTTCAATTCCCAGTCAGGGCACATGCCTGAGTTCTGAGCCAAGTCCCCAGTGGTGGCTATGTAAGAGGCAACCACTCATTGATGTTTCTCTCTCCCTTTCTCCCTCCCTTTCCTTCTCTCTAAAAATAAATGAATAAAATCTTTTAAAAAAAAACCCCTAAATGAAATATGAGTAAACCAAGCCTAACCAGTATAGAAAAGGGAGCACAAGCCAGGTTTGGACCATCGCCAGAGTCTAAGGTGCAATCTGCTTTGTCCTGGGGACTGTGGACAGGCTGGGTGCCTGGGAAGTGTCTAAGCAAACACTCCCTCTGTGCTCCCCTACTCCCCACAGTCCCTCTTCTCTCTTCCTGCTCTTCTCCCTCTTTGTCTCACCTGCAGGGGGCTGCAGTGTCCAGAGAGGGATGGTGTTTGGGAGGTCATTGCAGAGGTCCTTGTGGCGACACACATGGGTGTAGGAGACAATGGAGAGGCCAGGGCCTGCCCGGTGCTCAGTAACACGGGCCTCTTGATCCTTCTCCTGGGTACAGCCCTTGGTGAGTACTAGGAGCACTTGGGGTCCTGGATGTCAGATGGGGGAGGCCAGGTGAGGATCAAGACACTAGAGTCCTAGAGTGGGGGTCTGTGGCTGGGGTGAGAGGCTGGGGAGGAGGCACCTGGATTCCCAAGGCCTCCTCCTAGAGGAGGGGACAGCTACTGGTATGAGGGAGGGTGTCTCCTGGGTGTTCACACAGAAGGCAGGCAGGACTGGTCAGGAGGAGGGAGATCCCTGCAACGTGAGGATGGCAGTCACACTTGAGGTACCCAGGGTCCTTCTTACCATTCTCAAGTAACATCAGGGTGTCTTGGCAACCCCAGCCCTCTCTGCAGTCCTCCTCTCCAGCAGTCCACTCCCAGGGCAGTTCTGTTACATTTATCACTCTCCCCAGTGCTCCAGACTGACAGGTAAGGGCCTCCATTCCTGAGATGAGGACAATATATCTATTTAGCTCATCCTCCCTGGAAATCTTATCCCAAGCTGGAGTCTTCACCCACAGGGCAGCACAAGAGGGAGGCCCAGGGGGGCTGACAGCAGGGCTGGGCTCATGGTCAAGGCTGCTATAACTTTCTCACTTCTGCTCTTTCTCCTAGGAAATATCCCTTTTATATCTTGCTCCTCACTTGAGGCAGCCAGGAATGGGTGGGGAGTGGAGGACCTTGCTAAAGGAGGTGTGGACCCATCTCTCACTCTCACCAGCTTAAAGGTTGAGTAACCTGAGTTGTTCCTCCTCCCTGAGACCCAGAAGTTTACCACAGACCCCTCAGCAGATAAATACTGTGGCATTCTGACCCCCAGCCTCAATTGGTCCAGATCTCCAGCCCTCTTTCTTCCTGAGCCCAGCTATGTAGGTCCCTATGCTTATACTGTTCCAGGGTAGTTTGTGAGAGCAGTTTCCTCATTTCTTCTGGCAACCTGGCCAACCTCTGGTGCCAGGTGGGACCCAACTGCTGTGAGGACATGGAATGGTCGGTCTTCACTTGTCTCTATAGTTTTTCTACCTTAACCTCTGCCACCCACAGGCTTATACCACTCTTTTTCATCTCTTTCCTTCCAGTATGGCTTTCCTTTTTATTTCCCCTTTCATAACCTTCCTCATTCTCTTTCCTATCCTTCTCCTTCTCATTCTGAGTCTTTTTCTTCTATTGTTCTCTCTGCTCCCAACACAACACAGGCATATAATCATCAGTTCCTGCTGGCTAGGAGGAAACTGAGGTACAGCAAGGGGAGAGTAAATAGCTAGTGAAGAACTACAATATACCCTCACAAAGCAAAATTTCTCTGCTAGAAAAAGATGGGAGCAGCAGTGTGCTAGAAACACACCTTTTCAGAAATACAAAAACAACAAACCCTGCTCATAATGATGGCCTATAACTGTAGTGCAAATACCACCACACCTATTTTGAAGTCACCAACAGATTAACAAGGAGCTTGCCATATCCTAAATAATTAATAAGTTTCACTAGCGTATACAAATCAGTTCCACCCCACTGGGTAGGAGGGAGACCGGAAAAAACACAGAGCACCTGTCAGTGAATGCAGAGGCAAGAAAAGGAAGGGTGAGAACAACAGTAGAGGAGAAAGATAAGTGAATGTATAACTTTCAATGGTATGTGTATTTTTGACATTTTTATACATTCTGTTTTTATTTTGTTTGCAACTTTCAGATGTACCACACAGACATATATGTTACTCCTATCTCCCACTGAGTCTGCACCACTAACTGGCATATTGTGGTTGCTCAGTAGATACTTACTGACTGAGTGAGAGACTGAGTGAATGAATGAAAGAATTAAGAGGAGGTTAAGATGGCACTACACTTATATAGGTTGTGCACTTTTGAAACATCCCTTTCCCAACAATTCATGTTGTCTCTGTGTGAATGGCACCCTCACAAGTTGTGTGTGGACTGAAGCAGGGTCCCTGGAGGAAGATGAGAAAGAAGGTGAGCAAAGGGAAACACTGGGTAACAGGTCATCCATTAAGATCTTGTTTTAGTAAACAAATATTTACTAAGGCTGAACTTTGTGTCAGGCATTGTCCCAGTTGCTGGGGATACAAGAAGACCAACAAGAATGAGGGCCCTGCTTTTCTTGAGCTCACAGCCTAGCAAGAGACACAGGTAGTAAACAAATACATGAGAACAAAAGAATCTTAGATGGTCCTGGGTGATGGGCAGGTGATGTGAAAGTAAGTGACTAAATTGGGAGTGCGGATGGCCTTCAGGAGGGCCATCCTGAGGAGGTGACCTTTGTGCTGAGGGAAGAGTAAAAAGAAAGAGCCTGCCATGGAAAGACACGTGGAAAGAGTGTTCCAGGAAGAGGGGAGAACATTTGCAAATGTCCTCAGGTGGGATCAAACTTGCCTTATGTGAGAGTTAGAAAGAAAGCAGGGCTGGACTCATCATGGCTACAGAGGGAGTGATGGAAGACAGGAGGGGAAAGGCCGGCAGGGGCCCGGCCAGATAGACTAAGTCAGGACAAGAAGGCAACCTTCCTGGGATCCTGCACCATTCAAATGGCAAATGCAAAGGCTGGGTGTGGGGCCCTTAAGCAAAAAGTCTGACAGTTCTTGTTGTAAAATTCTGTTGGCTACCTGGCCTGATACTGTTGCTTCCCTAACTGCAGAATCTCAGCACTTTCCTTTCCCTTTCTGAACTTCATCCTTCTCCTCTGTAAAGTGTGTGTAATGACTATCTGAACATCAAGGATGGAGGGTTATCTATAGATAACCCAAAGTGGATTCACAACACATGATAAAAATATAGGTAATATTATGAGTCCTTACACAGTCCAAGCTGTAGTCCAAGCACTTTATATATTTCAACTCATTCATTCATGCCAACAACTATGAGGGGCATCCTATGAATTGCCCAGTTATATAGGTAAAGAAACTGAATTCAGAAAAGTAATATAACTTGTTCAAGTTCAGAATATGGTAAAGATAACTACCCATCCAAGATATTTATTCCCTTCATGGTGTAGCTCTCTTACTAAGTGAAGACTGGCCAGGTAAGGACTGCAGTTCCCAGCCATGGTCTCTTGTAGGTGGACCATGTGACTAGTGTCTACCAATGGAACATGAGCAGAAATGACTGGTGTCACTTCTGATCATGATAAATTAAAAAGCAGGAGTGCCATCTTCCCACCTCCGTGTGGTTGTCAAGGGTGACCTTGGAGCCACACTCAGACTATGGCACAGCCTCCATAGGCCTCAGTCCCTGAGAGTCTGAGTAGAGCAGAGCATTCCTCCCTCCCCCCAAACACTCCACCAACTACACATGCTGTGAGTGAAAAATATCTAGTATGTTAAACGAGAAATATTTAATTTGATGATGTATTTGTTGTGGCAACTAAAATTTCTAGTATGTTACGCACTGCTAGGAAGTGCTTTCCTTGAGATAAATGATCCAGAAGCAGAGTCAGAGACAGAGCTTCTTCTCCAGATGCTTTCCTGAAGAAGCATGATCAAGGAAGGAGAGTGAGGGAAGCAGGCTGGGAGGACAGGGAGACTAAGAACAGAGGGATCTGGTCTGGAATCACACTTTAGTTCAATCCCACACATGGCATCACAGAGCTGGACCAGCCATGAAAGAATACCATCCTTTTACAACCCCATTCCAGTCAGCCATTGGCCAAGGTCTGCCTCCAAGTCAAGGCAGTAAAGGGTATGTGGTTACTAGCTCCCACCAAGTGAGATCAATTCTCAAGAGAAGAAGCTGCTCTGAGGTGTTGTCAGCCCAAGCCAGCTGGACAACAGCATGTGGGTGAGACATGGTGCACCCACTCCAGGGATGGGAACAATTTGACCCTAAGGGCCAGCTCCTAACCATGACACCTGCAAGGGATCTTCTGTGAATTTCTAGTAATACCAACTTCATCACAAGAACATAAATACAAACAATGACAAACACTACCTTATATTACCAACTCCATAGAGTACCATAGTTAAGAACTCTAATGAATTCACCCAGCACTGCCAGAACAGCTTTCTTTCCTTTCTTTCCTTTTCATTGGGTACAACAATGGCAACAGCTCCCTGTTCTATAGAGAAGAGGATCTAGACACTGACAGAGGGAAAGAAGCCAGCCAAGGCCTCTAGGTCAGGCTGTGTCCAAGGGAGAGTCAGATCTGGGCCCCTCAGCTCACACTCTGGTAAACTCATTCTGCTTTCTCCTCCTTCACTGGCCACTGGGCTCACCAGGTAGCAGAAGGCTGGGTCAGGCCAGAATTTGCTCTCAGGATTTACCTACAGATGACAAAGCCAAACCCTTTAGCATTTCTGTGGGGCTGCCTCCATACTTTTATCCAGCAAACACACTTCTCCCTGAGATTCCCTTAGTGACTCAAGGAGCAAGTACTTCTTGCTCCTTGTAGGTCCAGCCCCTACCTCTGTCACTGCCCTAATCTTCCTGAGCAGTGACTGGTCCCATCTGTCTTCTCATCTCTAAGCCTTGAGTGAGACCCCACACAAGGCCCAGTCCACACAGGAGGGCTATGGAAGGTCCAGAAGGTCCACCTCTCTTCAAAGGGATATTTCTTTTTGTTCCCTAATGTTTTTATTTACAAAAATACCCACCCTACCAAGAAGGTGAAGGATGTTCATATCCTTAGATTCACCGATTGTTCACATTTGGCTGTATTTGTTCCCACACACAATTTTAAAATATTTTTGAATTTTAAAAATAAGTTGTAGACAGCGTGCCTCATTGCTAAGTGCTTTATCCTATACCCTCTTAACAATAAAACCCTTGTGCTATGTAACCACAAGAGTAGTTCTTACCCCTATAATTTACATTAGTACAGTACTATCAAATATTTTGTCCATATTTAATTTTCCTCCACTGTACCATTAACATCCATTACATTGTTTTTGTTTTCAATCAGACAGGCAATTCGGGGTACTGCACTGACTCCACTGGCTCTTATTGTCCTTGTGACCTCGTTCAATCTAGAACTGTCCCCAGCCTTTTGCTCCCTGTGAAAGTTACATCCATTTTAAAAAATAATGTTTTAAATATATTTACTGGTGATCCAAGATGGTGGAGGAGTAAGCTACACTAACATCCCAGGACCAATCTGTAAATACTACTATATGGTAGAGAAAGCATCTGAAATAACCAAGTGAACAATAGCTGAGGAGAAGCCTTATAACCATGAACACACAGAAGAAACCACATCACCTGAACATGACTGGTAAGGAGTTTGGAGGACAAGCAAGATGGCTGGCTGAGCTCCCATGGGTGGTAGCTTAAGTGCCCTGAGAAGTTGGGGTCAAAACTTCAATCTGGGCTCCCCAGTCTACAACACCAGAGCTGGAAAGGAACCAGTTCTGCTTCCCTTCTACTACTCCATTCCTCTTTCTGCCCTCCCATTTTTATTTATGATGCAAATTTTACTGTCTTCCTCATTTTGCCATGTCCC